TCCACAAGTTAGTTCACTAATATAGCTGATGTCCAGGACACTTCAATCATTTCTCAGCCTTCCTTAGTTGATCATGAATGACCATATGGGACGATTCCACAAGTTAGTTCACTAATATAGCTGATGTCCAGGACACTTCAATCATTTCTCAGTCTTCCTTAGATGATCATGAATGACCATATGGGATGATTCCACAAGTTAGTTCACTGATATAGCTGATGTCCAGGACACTTCATTTTTTTTTTTTTTTTAAAGCTGATTGATCTTATGGGAAGAGTCCTTCACAAGCATAACAATCTGTTACTGTAACACTAGGTTAGATCAATGAAAACTTGCATGCACGAAAAGATCTTGCATGGGATGATGAAGTGTATAGCACACAATCTTATTTACTGATGGTTAAACTGAACCGCTTTTGCTAGTTGTTTTTTTTTCTCTAAAAGAGTGTATCATCTTTTGACAATATGTCATGTATCTCTTTTGTCATTGGTTACATAGTTATTTCAAGGTTCTCCACAGGAATATTAGTTTTGCTGAAATTCACCTTATCACAGCATTGTTATTTTATATTTCGAAAAGGGTGGTCAATGTCCACAACATTTATTTGTACCTGTTATGGTTTGTTTTCTTTAAGAGTCTTAAGGATGCTGGAGTATTGTATGATACAAAGCTGTTACTCAATGCTATTAGTTACATATTCAGGTAAATGCTAGCACTCCTATCTTTTATAACACTGTAAGTGAAGTAAATAGTGGGCACACAAGCCAAGTGGCTCATTCAGCCAGAGCTTTTTGCAGCTTCTGTAGCAAGAAGCAGTGAGGAGTAGTGCTACTCACCCCACCCCCCTCCACTGGATGGGATACCAGTTCATGGCAGGTAAACCCTTGCATGCCATCAGGCTTCCATGGTAGGTTACTGTTCTCCATTCATGTATGCTCTTGGGTGGAAAGAGGCTTTGTGAACATAGAGTGCCTTACAGTGTATCACAGAACAAAACACAATGACCCTGTCAAGTCTTAAACCAGTTCTTGTTGACCTGGAATCTAAGGTCCCAACAATTAGGCTGCTGTAGTCCCCATAATTTACCACTTTATATCACAGATAACACTCAATATGTTGTAATTTTTGAACAGGTCTGCTGCTAAGGCCAAGTTACCCACTGAGAAACTAATTGCAGAACTGAAATCGTCTTTATGCTGGAAGGAAAATACTCTTTCAGTTCTTAAACATGTTTGGAATGAACAGGTAATGTGAACCCTGCCTTTCTTTAGTTTCTCAGTCTTTTTGTAGCTATATAGTTCAGTTAAATATTATTTTTTCAAATTGTTTTCAAAGTATGTGCAGACCATTGTGTTTGTTTTGAGCCATTTGGTCAAGCGCAAGTTTGAATTTTGCAAAGCTCATTGTAAGACCTGGAAATAATGTGGAATGTATGGTGAAAGGTGAACCGTCACAAAAATGGGAAGAAGTCTTTAGTTTCTTTATAAGGTTGCTGAACATTTTGGCCAAGACATTTTTTTTAACATTATCAGAGGAGAATTTCTTTTTTTAGATCACATGTTTGGCAACTGCTTTTCCAATACAGTTAAGTGATTTAACTAATAACCTAGAGTCTGGAAATCAAAAACAGTGATTCATTTGAATTTATTTATCAGTTTTGTAATGCAGTGTAAATGTGTTTAAACCCATTGTCCGTAATCTATCTTTCAGGGGAAAATTTTGAGCAGCTCAGACTTAACTGAAACCCTGAATGTTGGGCAGGTAAAGAGTCAAAATCATTGATTTTTTTATAAAGATGCTCTTGAATATGATTTTTAGAGGTTGGCACAATAAAATACAAGAACTGCTAAAATTGCTTTTGTCTTTCGTTTCAAGAATGCTACTGACAATAGTTTTGGAGTACTAGGTGTAATCAGTGATTTTTCATTGGGTGTAACTGATGGAAGGTGGGAATAAGGTCTAAAACATAGAAACTTTTGTTTAGAAAGTTGCATGTCTTCTTGTCAAAATCTGGTGATGCCCTTTCATTTTTTTACCCTTTAATCCCTAGTAGTGACTAACATCTTATTTCTTCTTACAATATCATCCTTGAATCATGCATTAATGACAGGAGAATTAAATAGCCAACTAAAGAAGCTTATGATTGTTAAACAAATTCTCCTTGTCTGCACCTTAGGAAATGCATAAAGAACAGTATGGAGAATATGCATACTGATGTTATTGTGTCAAGGGTTAAAACCTAATACTCACACCTTTTTTTTTACATTATATTCCTGATAGTACTGAAACGTTACTTTAATGATGAAAACGATAACTGTTTGATGTCACAGAATGCCCATTGTTGGGTTAACTCAACTAATACACATATGATCCTTTGTGTTTGTTTTTTCTTTTTCTCTAAACGTTGAATGCAATTAGTAATACAACTTAATTGATCTCTTTAGTTACTTGAGATGAAATGGAAGTTATCTGTTGGAGTGAGCTCTAGCTCATGTCGCAGTCTGAATTCTCCCTACATCACCGTTTTAGTAACAGTGACAGACCCCTCTGGGGGAGTCTCTTCAAAGTCCTTTGAAATGGCCATTGGAGAATTTAAGGTGAGTGCAGTACACATTCATGATTTTCATATATTCACAATCATTGACTCACTTTATGGGTTTATTGTAAACCAACATCACGACTGGCTCCCAGTTGGCTTGTTAACTCATTTGGTAGAGCACTGCAGCGGTCTTGCAGAGGTCAAGGGTTCAAATCAAGTGCAGGCGTGAAATTTTTTCAGGCCTTATTTTCACCACTGCTTAAGTAGCGTTCATTACTCTGAAGTTCGCTCTCATATTCATTTCTTGAACCGCTGTTCACATCTACGATTTTCATATATTCACAAACAAAAATGCCTCTTCACCAGTTATAGACTTGTTGAAAATGCAATGTAAGCAACTACAATTTATAGAAATTAGAGCCGCAGCCTACTTCCTATGGTTTCTGTAATCAGTTTAATATACTTAGTGGGTGATTAGCCCTCCAAGCTTCACCAGAGCCCCGTTGGCCAGGCGTTACGGGGTAGGCGGCCAAGGCAGGCTACACCTGGAATGAAATAGAGAAGTTGGCCCAGGATAGAAGGAGATGGTGCGAGTTTCCTTGGACCTATGCTCCCCAGGGAGTGAAAAGGGATAAGCAGCAGCCAAGCCGCAGCCGTGGTTACGGACTGTTGTACTAAAAACGGTTGTGTAACTTGAAGACAGCCAACAACTCTTCTTTCTTTCTTTTTCTTGCAAGAAATTTGCCAGTCAAATGAGGGAGATTGCATCAGTTCTGGAGACGGTCTAACGGAGGAGTTATAAGAAAAACATTCGTTTTGTGGGATTTGTCAGATGTGTAAAAATTTGATTAGAAAAAGCAATGTAAAACAAAACCAACTAAACAAGTTTTAAATACGTTTTATAGGATTGATTTTGTAAGAAAATGCGCCTTTAAGTGTAAATGAACTACAAGATATTTGATTAANACCGTAAATGCAAACATTTTCATCGTACAGTTTACAAATGGCCAGAAACAGAGCAGGGAGCTTACCGTTCGCTTCTCAAGTAGCATTGTAAAGTTTTGATCCTGGGAAAAAACCCTTCACTACAAACCAGCTTTTTTTTTTGTTTTGTTTTGTTTCTAATATAACAATATTCGATTACTGCAGCAGGAGCATTTCTAAGAAAATTGCTTTAACCATTCCAGGACTCTTGGCAAACCAACTTAGAATTAATTGCATGCTTTTATAGTTTAACAAAAAAAATCCCTAAAAAATATTGGAATGATGCGTCGGTGATCCTCGATATGTACACATGAGGACGGGTATCACAAAATACGATGAAATACACGTAATTCCGTAATTATTGTAAGGTTTTATCAGACACACAAAGTTCTGCTTTAGATTTGTCCTGGACTTCAACTGGACATGTAGAGATAAACACAAAAATTCAAATATGTTCCAATGACTTCTCGCTTTCCCAGGCTTAGAAAGTATTCTGGAATCAATCGTTTTTCTTCTCCACTGCGGCTGCCTCGTCGTTTTTTTCGACACCAAGAGCGCGGATCACGTCTTCTCCGTGGTTCATGGTTTTCAAAACATAATCGCAATGCTTCACAAATCCGTCGATGGCCTGCTTTTGGAAAAAAGCCTTGAAATCGTTCCTTAGCTCCATGGAAATTCCCTTTTGGGGGTTTCCTTTCACCTTGTCATCATTGTCAGAATGATCGTTCTCAAGGCTATCCGAGAATTGCTCTAACTTTTCTGCGTTGCCATGTTTTGATATGAGGTCATATTCCACCGAATGGAGTGAGTATGCCATGTCTAGAACTTTCCCTCTACGGATGACAGCTACTCGACCAAAGACCAGGCTGCCATCATCGGCCTTGAACCCTAGCTTATTCACGGCGAGAATATTTCCACCGTTAAAATTTCTCGCTCGCTTGATTGTCTTTTTAAGTTTTTCCGGCATGCCGGTCAAATCAGCAATTTCGTCGACTGTGACATCGTACTCATCGTCAGGAATACCCTCTTTGAGGTCACAAAGGTTGTTCTCGTCGTAACTCGCAAACGTCAGTGATTTAATCATGTTTTCTGCTTTCGCTTCGTTTCCTGTCACTTCTATGGTCTCTTGAGTAAAATCAACGGCACCTTTTTTAGCTAAGTCTAGGTTCTTTTGGACAGCACCACCATCTTTAACCGTGTCGCTTTTCTGTCCGTCAGAATACCTGCCTAAGAATTCCACGACTTTTTCCGCAAGGTCTTGAGGGAAGTCGGAAACTACTTCAAAAACCTGGTCTATGACAACTTTGCATTCGTCTGGCTTATTGCAAAACACTTCGGCGAATCTGTGAGTTGTGTTACGCAACTTGGACAAACAGCCTTTAACTTGGGTGAGGCTCCAGGCAAGAGTGGAGTCCCTCTGTGGGTAATACTTCATTGCGATCATGTCAACTACTACGGCAAGTGCCAGCGATCCAAAAATCATTTTTAAATAGGCCATAATTAGCTCAATGCTGAGAAACAACTGTGAACCTAGAGAAAGATGTTTTTCGTCTTGTATTGAGCGTGAAGAAATAGAGAAAGATGTGAGCCTCTCCGCTAAGTAGCGTACAGGTTTGTTAGTTCAATCTGTTGCTATGACTACTTTTGGGCTGTTTATAAGTGAAGCCGAACTATCTTGTGATTTCCCCTAATGGAAATTCCCTTGCATGTTGTCATTTCACTTTCGAAATATTGTACAGTTCATATCTCAATATAACGACACTCGCTCGCTGCAATGATATTCGCATTTCGTGGAAAAATTGTTTAAAACAATTCAACTTTCATCTCCAATATGGATTAATTGTCTCCTAAGTTGTATAAAATACAATTCGGTAATCGGATATGTATTGTCACGGCCCCCTTTGATCTCAGAATAAAAACACTCATTTATTCATATATTTTGAAATGCTTGGGAAGGGGTATTTGACGAAATTGAAACTGTGATATGAGGGTTAGTTTCTCAAGAAACTGTGGTCCTCTGTTGGTCGCGGGTGTTTACCGACTGAGTTGATGATGTAAAGGTTGGCCACCGTTAAGACACGTAAAGGTGTTTTCAGAGTTGACCTTTCGATCTTTAGCTCTTCATCAGAACGAATGAAATCCCAGCCCTGCAGTCATGTTCATCGTGGGAAATACCTTTGTAAGAAAACAAAATCACAGCAAGTGAGGATCTAGGTTCGGTAGGTACAGAATGAAAATAACCTCGAAAGTTCCCTCCAATCCCTGCTTAACCAGTTTGACAAGCTGAATCTTTCTGGGAAATGTTGCAGTTGGAGTTTTAAGCATGGCCACTCAGTATGAAAACGGAGAAAGTTCTTGAAACCAGAGAGGGAGTAGAAGACGAATTCTTCTATTAGCTGTTATTCACAGTAAATGCAAATATTTTCACCTTTGTTTACAAGTTGCCAGTCAGAGGGGACAGACAGCATAAAGCTCGCCTTTTGTCTCTTAAATACGAATTGTGGAGCTTTGTACACGGGGAAAAAAACAGCTTTTTGTTATTTCAATATAGCTGCTTACTGCAGCAGGAGTATTCATGGATCCGAGCTACATATCATGTACTAATGACATTTTATAAGGGCCTGTTGTCAACCCAATTGGCCACCGTTACGACTCGTAAAGCCCGACGTTCCTCTCGTTTGCTTTTCATCAATTAAATCTCGCTGCTTGCCTCTCAAGTAGCATTGTGGAGTTTTGACCCCGGGCAAAAATCCCCTCTCCATATCAAAACAGCTTTTTGTTAATTTAACATAAATGCTTGCTGCAGCAGGATTCTTTCTAAGAAAATTACTTTAAACCGGCAATGAAGGACTTTTCGCAAATCATTTAATTAAGCCGGAATTGTTCACCTATTATTGCCAGGTGGGATTTTGAAAGGGCTGCGATACCCCTCAGACAAGACATTTCGTTAAAAAATAATAATAATAACTAAACGAAAAAAATATCCTGAAAACAAAAATTTTGGATAATGCGTCGGCTTACAGCTGCGGTGGTCCTTGATATATTCATCTGATGACGGCAATAAATATCACAGCTAGTCTTGACAGGTGAAATTTGTGACGGCAAGCGAACATCAAGACCGAATGAAGCGCCGAGAAAATCGCGACCGGAGAGAATACCAACCAAACCAAGGGATACGTTACGGAGACTTAGCTATAAATAAATGAAAATTATCACTAAAAATAGCCGCTTGACGATACGAAGGCGTGACTAAATAACAAACACAAAAGCATAAGATCATAACAAAAGAAACGCTACCTTGCATAAATGGGGCAAGCTACAAAAGTGAAACAAACGAATATAACTTACATATCGGTCCCTATACGCCGGTGGCTTGAAACCAAAACTTAATAAGTTAACTTGGGATGAACGCCGGACGTGAACGGTGAACAGCGAATAGTCAAAGGGTGTACGATGCAACAACTAAAGATCAGCGGGAGAGCGGAAAGACTATCCGAAGGAATTAAATGGCTCAAAGGCCAACTGTTACGCAACTATCACGCAAATTTAAAGTCACGCATTTACAAAATTTGTCCACTGACCCATTTCAAAACTCACTTTTGTTTTGTTTTGGGAGCATTTCTATGAAAATCGCAGATCCTGAAAAGAACATTTTTGATTTATCCAAACATTTTCACCCTAGTATACAAATAGCCCGAGACAGAGAGCATGAAGCTCACCGTTGCCTCTCAAGTACAAATTATGGAGGCTTAAGGCTTGTTCCTGGGAAAAACCCTCCCATAATGTTTTTTGTTTTTCCAATGTAATAGCCTTCAGCGGCAGGACTATTTCGGCAGGATTATTTTTTTTTATTATTTTCATCAAAATGAAAAGCCAAGTGCCAAGTTTTGTGCCCAGGGGCACGCCTGATGGCACGGTGCCCCATTCGGAGAAGCAATCGCTAAATAGCTTGACTCACTGGCGCCTATCCATGAGGAAGTCGCAAACCCAAAGGGCAATTCCGCGAGGAATGCGTAAACCCAGAATTTTGGAAGCTAGGATACCATGATCTACTAGGTCGAAAGCCTTTCTGTAATCCAAGCACACCATGCGCACCGGTGGTTCCAAGAGGTGGTCACAGTGGAATGCAGGTCTCTGTCAACGCTGTTGGGCAGTGGTCTGCAATCAACAAGCTCCAGCTGAACGCGGATAAATGCAAGGAACTCGTTATTGACTTTAAGGAGGTTAAACATCCTTTTGACTCAGTTACTGTGAACTCTCAAGAACTTGAACGCGCAGATAGTGCAAAATTGCCAGGAGTTACCATAACCAACACGCTTCAATGGAATTGTCAAAAGGCAAACATAAGAATATACTTTCTTACATTACTTAAGCGTGCAAATGTTCCAGCACACGATATCATTTGTTTCTATCTTTCTTGTATAAGGCCAGTTCTATAATATTGTGCCCCACTGTACCATCACGTACTGCCTGACTAGCCTGACTACTTAAGTAAGGATATTGAAATTGAACGCATTCAAAAACGTGCACTATCAATTATTTCGCCAGGCCTTTCCTACGATGACAGCCTGTCAATATACAACATGGCATCTTTAGAGGACAGACGCATACATCAATGCAAAAAATTGTTTGATTCTATTGTATCTAATACAGATCATAAGTTGCACCATTTTCTCCCTTCCAAGAACTATTTTCATTATAACTTTAGAATACAACGCCACTTTGTCAATCCTATCATGCGTACCAAGCGATTTTCTAGCACATTTCTGCCATCTATGTGCAGGCATTAGCAGTTTTCGTAGTATGAATTTTTACGAATTTTTATAGATTAATATTCTAAGCTTAATTTTTTAGGTTTTCGTACTTTTTCATATTATAAGCTTTGTATTAATGGAATTTGTAAATTCATGCAATTCAGCCTTAGATGGCTCACATATGGAGTCAGTTAAAGCTCTACTTTTCCTTTTCCTTACTTTTCC